CCAAATGTTAATTACAATCTCACATCGATGTTAGCAAATATTCAGTATTCATATGTGTGCAGATTTATAAAGTCTGAAAGAATTCTTCAGCTGTCAACAGGCTGCAGTTGGTCTTCATTACCTGGAAAAAGTATATAATGCATAGTATTACTTACTTTATTTTTTTTTTTTATGTGAAAGCAATGTCTGCAACATTTGATCCTGGTGAGAGCCATAAATAAAGATGGTTTTTAAGACATTTGTTATAAATGGACACCTTACAAAATACTTTGAGCAAATAGTTTGTCCCCAAATATTGTCCATTTGAAAGAGATGAAGAATATGCTCACAGGGAAGTGATTTTCTACTCTAAAGGAGCAAAGGTAATTTGGGGTTGTTTTTTTTAGCATCTGTCATAAAACCGCATTATAATTTGCTTCTGACTTCTCAAACTCTTCAAATTCTCTCTCAGTCCTGTGGACCAATTTACTCCATTTACTCCTTCTAGCTAGTTGCCCAATCGACTAGACCATCCTTCTCCCTTGTTCTTTTGCAAACTATCATTGCATAACAATGAGTATTTCATTAATCAAGATGGAGAGCGAAATGACTTTTCTGTGATACTGCAACCTGATAGCAAGGTTGAGGTTGGCAGGAACCTTTAGAGACCATCTAGTCTAACCCTCCTGCCTGGAGCAGAGCACAGATCAGATTGCTCAAGGCCTTGTCCAGTTTGAGTTTTGAGTATCTCCAAGGATAGAGACAATGCAACCTCCTCGGTCAAGCTGTTCCAGTGTTTGGCCACCTTTGGGGTGAAAAAGATTTTTCTTAAGCTTAAATGGAATTTCTTGTATTTCAGTTTGTGGCCATTTTGTCTTGTCCTTTCACTGGACACCTCTGGAGAGCCCAGCTCCACCTTCTTTACTCTCATAATGTAGTTTTAAATGTTGACAAGATCCTCTGAGCCTTCTCGAGACTGAACAGTCCCAGCTCTGTCAGCCTCCTTGTTTGACAGATGGTCCAGTCTCCTAATCATCTTTGATAGCCCTTCACAGGCCTCACTCCAGGATGTCAATGTCTCTGTTGTACTGGGGAGCCCAGCACTACACCCAGCACTCCAGAAGTCTCTCACCTGGGCTGAAAGGAAGGATCACCTCCCTCAACCTGCTGGCAGTGCTCTTCCTGATGCAGCCCAGGATGCCGCTGGCCTTCCTCGCAGGCTCATCACCAACTTGTTGTGCACCACAATGCTCGGATCCTTCTGTGCAGAGCTGCTTTCCAGCCAGTCAGTCCCCAGCCTGTAATGGTGCATTACATTATTTCAGTTTACAAACCTGAATGATTCACAACACCAAATTCCATAGGCTGACATAGCATTAGCAGGTTCCTCTTCCTTCTCCATAAGTCCATTAAGAAAACAGTGGGGCAGTCTGTAGCTCCATGCTAAAGTCCAACCCTTCATTCACTACACAGATGAGAATCTAAGGAGAGTATCTTCAGCTTGGTGGCTCACTCTTCATTGGATTTTAAGTAGCCATCTGCTGTAATAAGGAATCTTCTGTCACATAAAGGTAATCACAGCACCCCAGCCAGCAGCAAGTGCACAGCCAGAAAGCCCTCCTAGCTTTCCTGTGGTTTCTGTTGCTGTCACAGCTGCAGCTATAGCTATTATGGCTATGCCAAGAGCTGCAGCAGCTGCTATTGTTGTTGTTCACACAGCTATTTCAGCAGAGTTCCAAGATCCAGTCCTGTATTCAGAAGTGTCAGCCACCCACATGCTCAACCACATGAAAACCTGGCCTGCACAAGACAAGTGCAGATTCTGTCATCACAGGCTTAATTTGTACAAACAAAACCCCTGCAGAAATAAAAGAAAACCAGAAATAAACAGTGCCAAAAATATCTTTTCCTTTGACCTTTTTTTCTGCTCACAGGAAATAGATATATTCCAAGACTTGCTTTGACAGATGCATCCCACAGTTTTTCCAGGTTACTCCAGTTTGTCACAGATCACAGACAGTAAATGGGGTGCCATCCTGGACTCTGGGTGCAGCAGGACACCCAGGAGAAAGCTGCAGACCAGGCTTCTCTTGAGTTCTTCATAGTCTAAGAGTTACCAGTCCTTAGTGTTAATGATATTATAGACAATAAAGTAGATATCCCAGGATTTAGCTGTCACATGCTCTTGTTTTCCACATACCAAAGGAAAAGGTAAAAAAAGAATCCTCCTGTCCTGCTCCACAATTAGGAGAGCAGAAGGGAGAGCAGGCTCTGGCTACATCCATTCAAGTCAACGAGTAAGCCTGGGGTACTGACCTACAGTCAGCCTTGCTGTTTAATCATTAGCATGCTCTTTTATATAACTTATCACCCATACCATTTAAGGCTTCTCACACTAATACCTAGACACAGCATGGGGAACAGCACAGCGTCTCCAAGCAGGGAGCACATAAATATGACTTAAAGGGCAGAAGAGGACTTGACCACCTGGATGAAAGCTGTACTGTGCCATTTGCTTTGGAGGCCAGAGCACCTTATGCACCCTGGCCTAATTTATTTGCCAGTAAAAACGTAGCCTCTGGGACCAGTTAGGATCTTCTCTACTCACTGTCTCTACCTCAATGTAGAAACTGAGAAGTGAAGATACAATAGCCTTTCTAACCTGTTCCTCTAAGAAAACACAAAAAACTGTAACTTGCACAAGTAGAGCACGTGGGTGTAGTAGTGTTCCACGCCTGGCTGCCTTCTGCCACAAGGTTAGACAAGGAGAGGGACAAAGAAATTAAGTATGCACTGACTGAAATTAAAAGGAAGGAAATCCCATTCCCCAGCAGCATTTATTTGTATTTAGAGTGCAAAGGCATACAGATATAACAGGACATGAGGGCAGTACACTGGATGATGAGCTTTCTTCAAGTATTTGCACTCTGTCACACTTAGTATATCCATAACCACAGCTGTGAGTTCCTGTTTGTGAACCTGGTATTTTTTATCTATACATACCAAGCATTAATAGAATTCCAGAATATGAAACAACCCAAAACATACAAGATTTGTCATAAGAAAGCATTACAGTTGGTACAACTGATCACAAGTTTACAATAGCTTTCTTCTCTCAGTGGGACAAGAAACTTTTTGAAAATATAAAAGCAGAGCAGATAACCAACATGAAATGCTCAGCATTTGTCATGCAAGGAGAGATTGATGATTGCATCAGCCTCCACAGAGGCTAGTTGGAAGCTATCCGAGAGTGATGACTAAACAGAAACTGATCCGTTGTTTGCCGATTGGCAGAGACTAGTATTGTCAGAGCTAGGAATGCAGAAAGCAAAGACAAATAGTAGTAACCCCATTGCTTCTACATATGCATTACAACACCACCAACAGGCAACATTTCCTGGAAAGAGCAGGAAACTAACGGAACAATTGTTTTAGGGTGTGGGTAGGCAATGCTGTATTTCATCCCAGCCATTCAAAAAGCAATGCTAAGGTTGGGTCTGTGTTACTAACACAATACTTCCTTCCTTCTCTTAACTTGCCATCATAATCCACTTCAGAGATAGCTCCATCTCCCATACAAGCAAGCTGAAATCCCTAAGTCCCTGAAAAAGAATCTGTGTCCCATGATGCCAAGCACTGCAGTACCCACATACTGAAAGAATGGTCAAGATGCCTTGCAGGCTCCCACCAAAGTACAATTCAGTGTCATTTTAAGCCTCAAACCAACTTCTCTAACCAGTATGGGCACATCTTACAGTTGATGATTGTTTTGCAATTACTCTGTGTTACAAAACAATGGGAAAGTAGACTGGCAATCGGAGGTGCATTGGATACTCTGCTGCCTCTTGCTATTTGAAACATTCACCACAGGAGTCAGATTGCAGGGTGTAACTACAGGCAGGACGCTTGCTCTTCACCATTTAATATAGCCCCTTTAATGAGATGCTGACAGACTTTGGAAAGACTAGATCTGTGAAGGAACTACGTTTACTCTAAAAAGCTCTTAAGATTTCAGTTTCCTGACCAAAAAATTCTCACCAAATAGAAAATACACTTTCTGACACAAAGACAGTAGGATATAGCTACTGACTTTTTAAAAGTGCCAGCAAAAGGGCTAAGAACAGCCAAAGCAGGAACTGTGCAAAATCCTCTCACCTTGCCCTGCTTTTTCCTGTTGCTTGCCCTTTTCACTCACAATGTCCATCCAGTTCAAATCCACTGCATCAGCTGAACAGCACTTTTCACTAGGGAAGTGTGCACAAACATTCATTGTGGTGGTAGGACATCAGTAGGATACAAACACATAACAGGCAGAAAATTCCCAGTCTTAAGCCTTCCATGTTTGACTTGTTTTTGCTGCTCCCTTAGCATACAGGCAGCGTGCCTGGGGCTATCATTAAACTGGCTAATGTGGTTCAACAGCAACTGCTCCTTCCTCATGAACCGTTCTGGGCTGCCAGGGACCAGTTTTGAGAATCAAAGCTGCATTTTTATGGGTCCCCGCTCACACTAGTCTCTGGAATACATGTTAGCATAATGTAGAGCAACCTCGCTGAGCCTGGTTTGGCATCTTAAAGCCATCTTTCATCACATCATACTCAGATGGGTTCAGAAATTTGTAACAAAAAAACCTCCTGCGGTCTCAGTTTTTACCAAATCTCTTTGTAAGCCAGGCCACTGCCCCCCAACCTCCAGTAATTTCAGGGCCACTTATTACAGACTGTTCATCAAGTTTCAAATTCTGTGACTTACTAAAATTGTAAGAGATCACAATTTTCAGATATGACAGTAGCAAGAATTTCCAGCTGTTTTCTTGTATCAATTTTCAGTACACATTTTTCCCCCTTTCTATTGATCCATTTCCACTTACATGCATTTTCACTTTTAATATCAGGCATTGATAGAATAGCAGACATGCTAAAGAAGTTCTTGTTTCCCTAGTTGATTGATCACTTGGAATTAATCACAGAAGTATCTTCATGTAAATGCACTGATAAATATGTCTTAGAGTATTTTATGTAAGAACTCCAGCTGCAGCAATGCACTGGGAAAGTCAAGGTTTGTGAAGCCTCTGCTAGAAAATTTTTTTTTTTTTCAAAATTTCTTTTATCCAGAAATGCCATATAGAATATTCCTACAGCATTTGACAATGCCAAGTTACCCAATATTAAAAATGCTATGTCCTTTTCAGTGTTGGCTTTTGCCCTGCTAACATTTTCTCTGGGTTCAAAGAAAAGTATTCTATTTGATTGAGCCTGATAAGTTCAGTGAGCTTATCTGATGAGAAAATCCAGTAAGACAATCATCATAATGCCTGTATGATCAAATAGCACTGACAGCTCTTAAATCTTTAGTTATCAAGTGCTTTCCTCTTCTCTTTCCACTAAGAAAAGCCTGATTAGGCAGTTTCCTGTTCTGAAAAAGAAAAACTACTTGTTCTCTTCCACTAGGAGTCCCAAATTTGTTGACCTTTCAGAATGGAGTAATGGTTAACTTGAAGAAGGGTCTGCAATTTAATAGTTTCAAAAGAGATCTGTTACATGAGTTTGGATCTGTCACAGGATATCAACTACTTGGCAACCGGTGAGAAAGTAGTCCTTGCTCTCTCCAATCCTCTCGACTTGGATCTCTTCTAAGACACTTCCAATATCCAGGAAACAGGAGTCAGGTACCAGAGGTAGCAAGGACTCACCATTAAACTTCCAACATTCTATCTTCACTGGTTTGGAGGCAAGATATGACCAATTGTTGGGGAAGACTGTTGCAATACTGCTACTCATCATCCTTTGTTGTCATACTTTCAAATTGCATTGCTTCTGGGTGACCTACAATGAAGTACTAAAATCCCTTGCAAGAGATCAGTGAGACTAGATACACTGAAAAAAATGACATATCAAGAAATAAGAACAGCTCATCTTGAGAAAAAACAACATTCTCAAACCAAGAGGAACTGGGTATTACTGCTGTAGTACCTATCCCTGTCTGGAAGAGCTAGAGAAGCAAGCAGAGAACACGTATGTTTCCTTTCTTGTACAGGGACATCTCCAGCACCAAAAGTTTCCTGTAGTAATAATTCATTAACAACGAGGATCAGTGCAGCCAACAAGCAGGAAGAGAGGGACAGAAGCCCTCTTTTCACACTCTGCAGCTGCACCAGGTCATGCTGCTTGCCCAAGTGCACAAAGCAGAGGAAATAGATGGAAACAATTATTTTTGCAGTCTATCTTTCAACATCCTGGTATTGAATAAATACCATCAAAGCTCCAAACTGTCCAGTGGAATGAGTATGCAGTTCCTCCCTAGTCACAGACATTATTTGGAGGCTGTAGAATACGCCAATCAATTGAAGGTTTTGGCCAAGTTTGGTAAACTTAAGACTTAGGGAAAAATTAAGAATCAGAAGAGATCAGCTTGAAATAAATTGCTCTAATTCCAAAATGAAATTTTATCATTTTAATCAGATTACAGTAAAACTTTCTCCAAGCTAAAATATTTTCAGTTATCCTGGACAGAATAATCTTTGTCATAATGGTGACAGTTTCATAGATTCTCACTTTTCAAGCCATCTCAAGACAAACATTCCAGATTCTCCTCAACTCTCAAAACCATTTCTCCATCTCATTCTGCTCAATGCAGTGGCCAATGACAGCTCCAAAAACATAAGAGGGAAGAGTATACATTGTTATTATTTGATAGAAAAAGCATAAATTTGGTAGACAGGTACTGAGATGCACAGGTTTGTCCTAAATAGAGGAAAAAATCCTGGCATTGAGCAGAATCCCCCAAAGAGTAGTATGAGCAACAGTGCCCAGCACTGTTAGAAGAGAGCTAGTTTGGGGGCTTTCTTGAGCTTGTGCAGCACCTAGTGCCAAAGATCTCAGTCTTCATCTGCAACTCCTTGACACAACTGTGGTAAAAGTTATCCTCACTGCAAGATATATTTCCTGACTTCCTAAGCTTTGATGCAAACTAAGATTAACAAAGCCAGTTAACTGTAAACTCACAAATTAGCATATTCTAATCAAGTTTTAAGTAGGTTAGAATTGTGTCTGAAAGCCTGTTCAAAGTTAGTTATATTCTCTTTAGTGAAGCAAAAATGGTATTTCACAGAAGGAAAAACAACCTAGGAAGTAATCTTAGAAAAGTCTTGAATTAGACAACTAACATTGCTAAGAGATGCCAGCAACTCCACCAAGAAATGGTTAGCTCAGCACCTCACTCAGCAGCCCACTGCCAGCACTTTCAGTTTTACCAGTACCTTCAGTTTTTCCTACCTCCCTTTTTCTTTCTGCTTCTCCTTTTCCTTCCCCAAAAAGGAGAAAAATAAGAGAGGTGGCCAGCTCCAACTCTCTTATTCCCACACTCTATCATTCATACCACTTAAATGCTTTCAGCTTGTGGAGATTCCAGACCTCCATTTGTCCTCAAGCAGAACTCCCATTCCTCTTACCTTCTTTCAACTATTTTTTCTGACAGCATCCAACATTTTCAGAGAACTCCATTTGAGCTCCAACCACCTTCCATGACCACATACCTTTCTGCAAAACTTTTTTCATCTGGCTTGGAATCTAAAGTAGAAATTGAATTACTAGGTTCTTCAAGAGCTGTAGGCAGAAATACGAGTTAAACACCTAGAACAACAAAAGTGGCAGGATAGAAAAGGCTAAGGGATACTTTTTAATGTGGTAGTAAGCAAGAATGCCTGTCCACAATGTTCGAACGTTGGAGAAAAAGCATGTAATCAAGGCAACACTCAATTACTTGACTGTTTCAAGAGACCAGCCAGTACAGTTCATCTGGACATTGGATGTCCCCATCTTGGAACTGTATGTGAGAGCCCTGCAAACCAGATGAAGTCATCACCCCCAGTCTTTACAGCTAGTTACACTCATCTCCAAGTACCACACATCTGAATTTATTAGAGTGTCCTTGTCTGAATCAGTCCAGCTAGTCTTTTATAACTTCTGAACTCTAGTCTAAGTGCAAAAAGACAGTGTCCATAAATAACTCCTAATAGAGACAACACACTGCTGCATTAAAGTGTTTGGACTTTGGTTTGTTAAATTTTATTTCAGCAAGTGATAAAGTTTCATAGGTAGCTGAAGTATTCATAGCAGCAGCATCAAGACTGTGAGCAAGTACTTAAAGTTGTTTTGGAAAGGTATTTATAGTAAGTTAGACCTTTTTTATTATAGTATATGAGTAATCTTTGTCAAGATTTACTCTGAGGAAGTGTGCTCAATGTTGACTTACATGCTGTAGCAGGTGTCTGGCTGATTCTATCTATCCCACAATAGAGGTACTTTCTAGACAGACGTAGTTGTTCTCTTGCACTCTTCTCAAAAGAATGAGAAATAGCTTACTTGTTTTCCAGCAACAGAAGTTAGCAACAAGAAAACCGTTTTCCTTAAGACATACAAACCAGGCAATCTAGATAGATGCCAGCAATGCACCACTCTTGAAAACCAAGCCACACAGTGGTAACACCAGGTTACTTGAGTAAGATCCTGCTCAAATATAGAAAGCCAAGCTATCTGTGCTTTCCTATATATTTAATTCAAAGAACACCCTAGATATCTTCAGCAAAGATGCTTTTTCCTGGAACTCTCATATTTTGTCTGCTAACAATGAACAGCTGAAGTTTTATGTTAATCAGTCTAAACAATCCATAAAAGTTTTTACTTGTGTCTTGGAAACCAACTCACCTGACTTCATGAAGCTATACTACTTTTGTAAGGTAACATAATGATACTCTGCTAAGCACAGGTTTTAAGTTCCTTAAGTAAAGTCCGACCAAACTGCAGCTTAGACAAGGAGGTTTCCAGAGAGTATTTTTCATGCTGTAGCTTAAGAAAGAAAAGTAACTTCTGAGAATTTATTTTAAAAAATTTTGCTAATAGCAACCAGAACCTTTTTAATCATACAAAATTGTGGGCTCCCTTACTCCCACCAAAGTTTTCAGTAGTAATAGTTTTAGTTTTCTAAGAGACTTAAGGGTTAGTTAGTATCAACGTCACTTTGTTAGTTTTGTAATTGGTAGAAGTCACACAGAATGCCCTTATCACAGAATACACTAAAGAAAAACTATTTAACTGCAGGCAGAAAGATATATTCTACACACTGCTTCTACTTCAAAGTAGTCAAACATAACATTCTCTTGGGTACACACCTACTATTAATTTCCAGACCAGAACTGTATCTGTCCACTTCAACTAAGCGGAGAAAGCTCTGCTCTGGTGAGAACACATATGCTCTGGTCTAAGTAAGCCCTCGTGACTCATCTGCTGATGAAGTCTAGTTGAGGTTGGGTTGTTTGGTTGGGTTTTTTTTTTTCATCTCTGCAAAAAACCCACAAAATTTGAATAAAAAAATCTGGAACTCTTATATTATGAGGAGATTCCAGTCTTGAACACAGTCTTGCCAATTTCACTCCTCTTATCAATACTGTATCACTTACAAGACTGACTTTCATCTAACTGTATGGATTTGAAGGTACTGGGTTTAGATCCAACTGACCATTTTTTCAACTTTGGCAAGGCTCACTGTTAAGTTGGATATGAGAATGTTAATTTAATGGTGTTGCTGCATATATACACATCTACTCACAAATTTTAGATTCACACCAAAGCTCTATGTGGTCAAGAAACTTTATCTTCATTAGCATGAAGAGGTCACCTTTGTCCATTATGCATACAATAATGTCAGAAAAGCACAGCAATGGTAGCTCAAGAGAAAGTATCTACACCACAGTTTAGGCAGAAAGGGAAAAACCGCACCACGACCAGTCTGTATCAAAGCCATCTATTATTTCAGAGAAAATAAAAATCAGACTGGAGACAGCACACTTCTCTTACATTAGAGTGATTAGTTACTACTACTCCTTTTGTGCATCAGAACATACCCACACCATTCAGTGCATTCATATGCAATACTAATTCTACCCTTCAGACAAAGGAAGGCCAAGGAATATTCTATTTTGCCATAGACATCACCTTTACTGTTTTTCCAAGCATGACAACTTAAGTAAAAAAAAGTCAGAGCACAAAACATTTTGAAGTTTCAGCTACCACCATTTGTGTTCGTTTGTGATAGTAGTTTATACACTTTTTGTGAAAACCCTCCTCCCAAAACTTAAGTGGGCTTCAAAACGCTTTACAAGAGAAAGAGCAAGTCAGGAGTTAAATTCAGTTCTGTCTAGTATCCCCAAAGTTACAATTACATCTGGCAAATTTCATATCTTCCATTTAATCACTCCAAATCAGAAGCAGTTCTAGTTAACGCCAATTCATTTGTTCACTCAAGCCCTGCAATACAGGGGGAAAAAAATGCTCATTAATAGCTTATAATGCTGTCTTGGGACACATATGTATTAATGCAGCTTAAGAGTTTCCCATGCATCCGGTTTATTGGCTACCAGACAGATGAGGGCTAAAGTTGCTTTGACTTTCTGGGGATATTCTGAGAGGCCAAAGTAACTGCAGAGGCAAGATATATGCATGCGCCAACTGTTTTAGCTGGGAGTCAAACACCTCAATGTTAAACAGCAGTCTACGGAAGCATTCTCTTCCCACTAAGGGCGTACTGTAAATACTGCTCCTCACCAGAAAAGTCTTAAAAAAAATGCTGTAGCTATGAATGTACCAAAAAAAGCTGTCTTCAGGTAGAGGGAATAGAATGAGCAATTCAACAGTACACATGAAAAGCTTGCATCTTTCACTGACTTATTCACTTCACAATCACTGACAAGACTGATGTACATATTTCTGCACCTGCAATTGTAAAAGCAGATAAAATATTTAATATGTAATTTACAATGTATTTTACCAGCTTGGCATACAGGATGAACAGAATATATCAAAGTAGTTGACAGTTATAGGCTTGTGAAGGCCCTGCAAAAATATTACTTCAGATATCTGCTAATTTAAAAAAAAATCAATTTGCATTTTAGAAGTGATACAATTCAATCTACCACAAAATACAAAGAGCTGCAAAAACATATACCATTCCAACAACAATGTATATAAGTTATTAAATAATGATCTGATTTAAAAGAATATAAATGAAGCCTTTAAGTAGGTCTTTTCTACATGCATATTATTCCTCATTAAAGAAAAATATGTAAAAAGGCCATTGGTAATTGCTTTGTTAACCACTGTAGAAAATGCCAATTCTCTGGTCACAGACGCCACTAGTTTAGCACTTAAGGTCTCTGCAGTGTTACATGTGATTATTTTTAAATACTGTTAATTCTATTACTCCATTGGTAAAGAATGCGTGACTTGGAATATGGCAGTCTTCATATTGAGAGGGCAGTGATGCACAGTTTTATAATTATCCAGAAGAACAGCACCCTCCACTGCTCTGTACTTGTGGCTCGTCATCAATGATCTGTACACCTCGCCTTGCTATTCCTGACTGACTGGAACCATTGCCTCTTGCTCTTTCATCCACTTGAGCAGTTTCTATCATTCCTGTAAAGGAAGAAATGTATTAGATGACATTCCACTGCATTTTTACACAAGACTGAGATCTTAATCTATTTGAGTTATATGCACAAAGTTCAGCAAGACTAGTTCTCCTATTCATTATGCAGAAGTAAGTACTTAGGTATCACATAGCATAGCTGCAAGAACATACTTAAATCTTCTTCCTAAAGCACCAAACATCCAGCAGCTCCTGTTGACTAAGGCAGACCTTAGATGCTCAGATATTCTGGAGTTAGTGACTTCAAAAGCTAGATTTACGCACCCATATCAAGAACATTCTGTTAAAAAAGAAAACAAACAAGAAACCCCCCCCCCCCCATACACCCCCCCCTACACCCCCCCCCCCCCCCACCCCCCCCCCCTCCCAAAAAAACCCCAACCTACTCTTCAGACATGCAGGTGGTTTTGCTTAAATTCTTGTATCACAAGAACACAATGTATAGGACAACTTCACTGTGTTATAACATTTTTATCCTACACTCCATGATCTTCACCATTTGCTTAGACCGCTGTGTAAAATTTGCATCATTACAACTTCAAGTTTATGATTTGTAATCAACATCATTTAAGAAGATTTTTGAAAGAGGTTGAAACAGAGGGTCTGAAGCAGGCAACAGGGAGACCAGTCACATGAAGTTTGATGTTACTATTTACACATGCTGAGTGAAACAGCAGTCAGTGCTCCAACAAACAACAAAGACATTTTTGGAGCACAACATGAATTTGCAGTATTTTAAGCATCCATACATCAAGCTTCCGTAGCTGTTACAGTACATAGGTGGCTTGAAGTAGACTCAGATGAAGTCAGTTCTTAGTAATTGTTTACACATTAAGGCTTCTCTTTATCATTTTAAGCATTCTGAAGCCTTGAGCATTTTGTGAACGAGCTCTTTACCAACAAAGCTAGATAATACCTACTTTTACAAAGGTCAAGAAACAGTTCTTCAATTCCTTTGTTCTGTTTAGCTGAAGTATGATAATGTTTTGCTCCAACAGATTCAGCATACCTGTAGGAATGCAGATACAGAACTTCACTGTACTAAAGAACTCAATCTTTCTAAGCCACTTTACATGAAGCAAGAACATGATCACAAGAGGTTTTATTCCAAGTTCAGAGTTAATCTACACATGCTGATTTAATTTAAAAAGGGAATTATGTGGTTAAAACTGCCATGATTGTTGAAAAACACTAGATGAAATAAAGAAAGTTTCATGTCTAGAAATGCATTGAAACTGTAAATGTTGACTTTAATCATGCACAGCTCTCAAGTTATACTTTGGTGAGTAAGGACATTCTGTGACTGATACTAACAGAACACTTAACACAGCACCCAACAAGGCACTGCTGGTTTATGCCTGCCAGTTGTTAACAGCTTCACAAGTTTATTACTGCAGCATAATTCTGCAATGACTATTTCTATTAATAACTGGCGTGACTTACGTTTCTGCTTCTTGCACTGAAACGTGTCTCTCTTTTTCCAAGTCTATTTTGTTACCTGTTGGAAACAAGTTAATCTTTCAAGTCTTCGTACTACAAAATTACCCAAAAGAAAGCAGTCATGTAATCATTGTACCCCATCATTTCCTCACAAGCTGTCCCAGTAAAGACTGACTCTTACAGAAGTCTCAATTTAGAGCACAATGATATGATTTAAGAATCTCCTTTCACTCAAGCATTTACAGGCAATAAAGTTCTACTTCTCTAGAGAGATCAGAAGAGCTAAATACCATATAAGCCACAGATTCAGCCTTTTGCTTTTCTTTTGTAAATTATTAGCAGCTTGTCTGTGCTGCATAGGTAGTTTTTGGAGAACATCCATACATCTATCCTCCTGGAAGTGTTTTAATCACTATATCTGATTTTAAATCTAAACCCAGTATTTCTGTTTGCATTGAAATATCCAAGCTTTAAGACTCCCCCCCCCCAAGCACTTGATTATGAAAACAGACAAGCGTCCAGTCTATGCCACTGAGAACAGTAAAAAACCAAGACGTCTGAATACTTGCAAGAAGGATAACACACATTTGAGGTTTATGTTTCTCTTTGTTAAACTGCAGTCTGCAGGTGTCCGTACTATGCACTTCTGACATGGTGTATCATTAAACAGCCTGTTTTTCAAAACTAATTCTTATTTTCCTCCATGCGACCTACTCAAACTTCTAGCTCCAACTGAATTTTAAATATGAAATTAACATAAGCTTTACCCGTTCACATGTACAAGCTGTCAAAGGAGTGTTTAGAAGATGCTATTAATCAAAAGAAACATTTCTGATTTTCAGCATCACATGTTAAAAAAGAAAGACCTACCTACTATACATAAACAGATTTCATTTCCCAACATTTTTCTTAATTCCTTTACCCAGTTTTTTACCTGCAAAAAGAACAGAAGTAAGTTTATTTTCACCTGACATACTACTAGCTCAGGCACTGCGGAACTGACCCACTTCATTCATTAACTGTTTACTCTAAACTAGAAACAAACATGTTTAGAGCAACAAAGATGGACAAAATATTCTTTAGATAGCTATGCATGGCTCTTGTTCAGCAGGTTTTAGTTTGCAGTTGAAATTAAGAGCAAATGACTTAGATAAAATGGTTCAATTACTCCAGAAATATAACTCACCACACTCATGTTAGCCCCACTCCAAAGAACAAGTTCACTGCATTGGCCACTTTAGGTCAGGCATGAGATCTTTTATCAACAGGCACTTACTGACAGATCACAAATGGTACTTTAAAGGTAGAGGTACCTGAACTGAGTTGTTCAGGTTAGATTATAACAGATGTTTGCTTCCTGAGAGAACAGATAGGACAAGAGTGTCGAGTCAGCTGATGGTACGGTATCTGTTATCAATTCTGTTGTCATGCTTTGAAGCTGTATGATCGCTGCATTGACTTAGGGGCTGCTATTTTAAGGGAATTTAAGTCATGAGGAGAAGCAATCACTTCAAGAACCTAAAAATAGTCGGGATACACAATACAGAGGTAGTTATGCAGTAACTTCCGCAAATTAACCTTCCCTCTTTTTTTCCAAGAATAAGTGTTTTAATATCACAGAATTTTACTAAGTAGTGCCTTTTCATGCTGAGCCCAAGTTGACTCACAAGTCATCACAATTCTGCAGATGAGCAGCAAGAGTTTAACTGTTAGCACAAGTGCTTTACTTGCCCTGCATCAGACTTTTTAAAATACTTAAGCTGTTATGGAACTATACCTTTACACTACTTCTATCACTGCTAACCCAAGCCTTGCCCATAAAAGCACAATTTCTTACTCTCTACACAGAAGTCCTACTAGTTTTGCCACAAGCTAACTGGAGACAAACTCACTTAGGAAAGAGTGTCACCATTTTTTCAGCTGGAACATCCTAGAGTGATAGTGCTGATTTGACACAGGGTTGAAAAAAACCTCATCTGCTGAGACCGATCAACTAATACTGCTATAAAATAATTAGCCATCAAATTTCAGGTTTTGATGAGGATTTGAAGTCCAAATATTTATTATCACTGGAAAAGTAGTGTTTCCACTATCGTGCATTGCAGTTTCAGAGTTCAGATCTGTAAAAGGTCATGTCACTTAATATCTTCTAGTAATTTGGTTTATACAGTAGAGATCAGTATTGCATACTATCACAACAGTACTGGTTTAAGTTTATAGCCTGTCACAGGTAACTTGCACATCTAATTCTCTGGTGTTCTTTGAATACCTCTGCTGGAACTTTAGTAGACTGAAAAAGTCAGCCTTCAAAAGAATACTAATAAGGGATATACTTCCATTATATGGTCTAAATTTGCAGATGTAATATATATTGCTATTGCTAAAAACAGAAGATTCCCATTTACACACTCATATCACAGATTATCTTTCAATCAGTTTACATCTCACACAGAGGTAAAAATCTGTCCAGTACCTTTTGAAAAGAGTCTTCATCTGTTATATCATATACTAGGATAGCGCCATTAGAATCCCTGTAGTAGATCGGCCCCAATGCATGAAATCTTTCTTGACCAGCTGTATCCTGCATTTAAAATACACTTGTTAGCATTTAAGACAAAGCAAACAATACTTCAAGAAACTCCAAATACTTTGAAATTTTACTATATTAAGAAGTGCCCAACATTTAAGTTCTAGTAAACCTAAGTAATCTTTCAGGAAAATATTCTATTTAGCTAGGGGAGGGAAAATAGGAAAGTAAACATACCCATATTGCAAGGTTTACTCTTTTCCCACCAATATTTAGCTTCTTTGTAAGAAAAGATGCCTGGAAAGCAAAACAGATTAGAGTTAAGTTTTACACACAAATGTCTTATTTGACTTCAGATTAATTTACTAATAAAAACATCTGAATCAATAAAAGACAGATTTTTGGATCAGAATACTCTTTAAGCCAGAAGGCTGAGTCAATACTAAACCAGTTAGTCATTTCACTAGTTTGCCAGGAGTCTATTCTAAATAAATTTGGCTTAAGCCAATCATTTACTACATCTTTTTGCTGTTGTTTTGAATGACTTGGAAAGGATAAGAAACTTGTGTGGAAAGAGTCTGAATTCACAACACTGATAAATCTAAGCTGAACTTGAAGCATTTTACAAGCATACATGAAGTTTGGGTAGGAACCAGCCTAACAGGATTTTTAATTTGCAGGAATTAGGCAAAGCACTTCACTGTTAGTGAGCTACTAGAACAAAATAAAATAGTTTGAGTGTATTGCTAGAAGTCTCAGAACAATAGTATTCTGTAAGTCTCCTTGTCTGTATCTTTTCCCTTTTTTAGCTGACGTGAGCCCACAACTCTTCCCTTCTGTTTCTGAGGACTTTTCTGGGGCAGGTGTGGTTTGTGTTTTGGGTTTGGTTTGGTTTTTTTTTTCCCAGACACTGTTCCCAAAAGCTCAGTGATAAGCTTCTCAGCTAACACACAGAAGAAAAGCAAGTAGCAGGGTAAGAAAAGCCTCAGAATAAGCATACAAGCTGCTCTAAGAATTCCACTACATTATCTTCTGAAAATGTTTTTCAGGACCAGAGTATATTGCAAGGTTAGTCTAATTTCAGTAACTCAGGAGTGTGTCTGTTCTTCTCCAAGCCTGCATGATCCACGTTTTCAACCACCACCTCCGTTACCGAGTGTATAACTGGGTGGCTAAAAAGGGGTATAATTCAATACAAGTTTAACAGGCTAGAACGGCGTCTGAAGGAGTTGATACATTAGGAATATGCTCCCCCCCATTCTGAAAACTGGCAGTAACAGGTTAACATCAGACAGTTCTGTTGCCACGGGTTAACTTTTGCTCAATATGAGCTCTCTGTATAAGCACGGACCAGGCACTGAACTAACTAAAAGTCATGTGTATGTGGAAAGTGTCATGGGCCAGATCAGGTGCTTGAACCAGCTTGCTGCTTAACTACACAAGCAACCAGTACACACACAGAAGACCGCGGTAGTTCAATTTACACCGGCCGAAACTGCTGTGAAAGTGCCTCTCTGGAGTGCTGCCTGTATTACAGTTAAAGTCATCCAACACTCAGCTGCTAGAGCAGCTCCTGTTCTTCAGCTACTTCCCCAACATCAACTCTGGCACCTGTATGACCTAAGGTGAGATGATTCAAGAAACTTTTCTTCTTTTTTTGAAGTAAACTGTATCTTCCCCCAAAGCCTTCCACAAAGTCTGATTAACAACAGATAGAGAAAAGACAGACCAGAGGAAAGAAAAACAATGAGAAACTTTCCAAAAGCAGATAGCAAAGAGCTAATCATTATGACCACTGTATTCAACATAACTACAGCATTAATAATGCTACCCCTTCAGTCTACAGTGAGGTGGCATAAGTCAACTTAAGAAAAAGTTCCAGACAGCACATTAAAACTATTTAACACACTAACCAACTTTTATAACAGCAGAGTAGCAAATCTTAAATATCAGGAAAACTTTAACTCTTTAATCAAAAACTCTGCAGAAAGTTGTTTATGGCTTTCAGCTAGCTGTCCCTAAGGATCATCTAATCAGCGTCTAGTCTTCATATCATAATTTGTTCTACCACACCAGAGTTTAAAAGCTAAAAGCTTAGAGGTGACTTCAGAAGTTTTAATTCACCAACACTTGGGCCATATTAAAGGAAGGTATGGTTAGGCACAACAAATCAAGCTTACCCGACAATATTTTATTGATCTGCTGTACTACAGTACTTGATATTCTATTGTAAATCTCAAAGGAAAAAGCTCTTCTGAGCACCATTTGCTTTTGTCACAACACTGACAATCAAGTCTGCTCAGTTGATATGGGTTTCACATAAGTGTTTGAGAATCACGTTTCTGGACCAAAAGGCAGAAAAATCGTTCACAGAAACAGAATTTATATTTTTAAAAAAACACAGAACTCAGTACCCATAAAGTTGTGACATCATGGCTTTAGACATTGGCCCAATTAATAGTACAGATATCTTTACTATCTGACAGAGCAAATATTAAAGTAGGCTTATCCCCACTGGTAAGTTTTGCTTAAGTATCACCAGTCCTTCAGGTCACTACAGCTTTTGATAGCAATACTGTCTTTTAACACCAAGAGTAGAATATTTCTCCTATATACCCAAGTATTAGAAGACCCATACATTCAAGTAAGGCTTTTTAGTGTCTCCTGCAAAAAAACCAAAAAATAATCACAGGAGACTGGCAAGAATATTTAGTATTGGGCTACTGTACTCGCTCTCTGTATTAAAACTTGATGAATTTGTACTAATTAAGACTTTAAGCAGACTCTAACTTAGGCCCCTAACCAAAAAAGGAGAGACAATATCCTATATCAGATATCCTGATTACAAGCAAGTTTGTCTGAAAAGCTTGCCCAATAACAAGATTGGAACCTCATATTTGAAGTAGTCATGGTTAGTAATGAGCAGAAGCTTTTGTGAACATGCTGCGAGAAACAGTCAATACTATATTACAGATTAAACACTTCATTCGTCTTCATTGTGTTCATATAATTGAAGAATATAGTTAGCAGGCTCCATCCTTGAATTAATAAGTAAGGGCAAGTTTGGCATATTTGCCATCAGTAAAGTACATTTTACAGCCACAGTGGCAAACATGCCAAAGACAAACCACCTAACACCTACCTTTTAACCCCCCCCCCCCCCCCCCCTTCAAGTTCTATTTGTCTCATGGAAGAGCAAGGTTACTACTCTTCACTCATTCTGAGGTTAGAGAGCAAAAAAACAAATCAGGTGAACAGCAGGACTATGCAGTTTTTAGAAATCTGGGGGGAACCCAACATGGAAGGAAGAACCTTAACGACTGTTTTGAGACAGTTTAGGAGCCTAGTTTAAGGAAAAGGTCAGCTACCAAGAGCATCAAAGCCTCTGAAATCAGGACAGTCTTGACAGCATTAGGTAGTTACACATAGAAGAGGATTCAACATTTTTTCTAATCTCCCAAGAATTTACCAAATTGAGTACTACAGATTTAAGTCCAAGTTATGACTCGACTTACAGTCAGTAACTCTTCCATATTATTTTCATTACTATGACAATTCATTCTTGCTAGGACTTTCAAAAACCCACAGATATATAGGACCACAGTTAATTCAAAGATAAGTAATCTCAAATAGCTCTTTGACATAAGCTACTAATTTTGGTATTTTTACTCTAGTGTCTTATGACTGGTCTGAAGACTACTTACACACTTAGAAGAAAAGGATAATGCAATTATAAGGAGCTAAAATTCCATTCTCTTTATGTGCCTGTAGAAAGTATTTTCTTTTAATTCTTTCTTCTAAGAGCTCAGTTTCACTCATCCATCAGACCCTGTTAGACACCGATAAAAGAGCCTAAGTAGAACACAAGGAAGACTCAGCTGGAAAAGATTCTCTTGAAAGTCACTGAATAAAAGCAGATGTGTATCACCTACCCCTCTACTACTTCATCTTCAACAGAGGCAAGCCAGGCATACCAACACTGCATATAGCACCGAACCTCCTTGTGTTGTCTTCCCCCCACCCCAGCTATCTTCGACAGCCAAGACAGCTTTTCCAGGTTATGCAAGTCCAGCAAAGCAATCAGGATCTCTACAGTATTATTAGCACCATGTCGGCAGCTCTCTTGGGTTGGATATTTTGCAGTTCTCCACACATTTGAGAGATTATTACACAAAAGTTGTATTTATCTTGAGTAATTAACTAAGAGAAAGTGTCTACCCAAATTTAAAAAAAAAAAAAAGTTTGACAGTAGATTTATTATTGGAGTAATTCCAGCACAGTTCTCTTGGTATCAATTTATAGCTTAGCATTACTTTATCAAGACGAGAGCACTGACCTCAATATTTCAATCAATGGGAACCAATTCTAACTGTCCCACCAGGTCTGACAACAGGTTATGGATTGTACAAGTTCATTGTTCACAAAAAACCTCTACCTTTCTTGCATCAACTTTTTCACATTATTTTAGGTAAATGTTTCCTTATGTGAATCAGTAGCAACCTTAATTTCAATTTGCAGGTCATCAATATCTTAAGTAGAGGACTTGAAGCTAACATAACTACAGCAACACATCCCAGCAGCCTCCTAACCTCAAGGGAAGTTCCAGTTCACCATTTCCCTCTAGCTAGCATTTAGGGAAGGGGGACGTGGAGAGAAGAGAAACAGCTCCCTTTCGCTAAAAGCCTTCTGTTACTAGCACAAAAGAAAACTCTCCTATTTGGGTGTACACAGGTTAACTTCACAAGAGAATAATACTTAACTGTTAGAATTCAGACAGGAAAGCATAGATATACATCCGATAAAAGATATCCACACTGACTAATTTAAAGACTTCCTGTGCTCTCCCCCATCACTGGGCTCACGCTGCAGGAAGCACCAGCCAACATCACTAAATAAAGTTTCCAGAAGGCTACAGTCTCACCCCCCTTTTTGTTGCAATCATACCGGAATAGAGTACTACACAGTACTTTCTTTTTTCTACTGATCTTTTCATATGATTCATCACTGTGGCTCCTTTGCTGAATCAGGAGCTAAGTATTTATCTAATTTTGGCTTTATTGGAACAGAAGTAATTTGGTGCAATAATTTGAACTGATGCCATGAAACACAGCCGCCTTACCAGATTAAGCCTTTAATCTGAAAAAAAAAAGATGTTTTGCAAAAATGTCACTTCATTGATTAATCAGATATCCTAGTTTCTCCTTATCTTATTTTTTTAAGGGATGTTTTAATTTGCTAGTGGAAGAACTTACTAAAACTTTCTTCTAGAACTGTAAGACATAAGAAAACAAGAATAATAAAGATAATACTTCACAAGTGCACATGATGTGCAGCAAGATTCAAGAGCAACTGACATTGTATTTTACAATCAGTAAGATGTATATGTGGCTAAGGAGGCTCAGAACAGAAAAGCAAACAAGTTGAGAAACACAGTGCAGTCAGTTAAAAGATACAGGTAGCAACCAGAAACCTAATCACAGTGGAAAAACAAAATCTCAGTATCAAGTGTGATCATGTACTTCCACTGCTCTACAAGCACACAGCCCCACCCCCAGACAGATAAACTGGAAAGCTCTCAAGCTATAGTATCTAGAGACATTTTCCTATCAACATTTTGGAGGCATTTAAAGGTCCATTTTATGACATCTGTGACCCCGACTATGTATTTCAACTCGCTTTTTGCTTCTAATTTTAGGTTTTCCACTACAAATCTAAAGAACACACTTAAAAAAACCCACCAAGCTGCATCACATGACAAACTACTCAGCTCTACTCTTTCTACATGGCATATCAGAATTCAGCTATACACAATCATTTTGATGCACTTTAAACGATTATTTGCTCAATGCTACACTTCAGGTGAAAACTACAGCTGCAGCTCTGACACCTACAAGCCACTAGTCATTTCTGTAGCATAGCGAATATTAATTACCTCTATGGCAATCAGAGCTACAATCAGCTTACCATAAATACCACACCATGCCTAGTAACCCTACCAATAGATTGATCCAACAGCACGGTATGCACATAGGGTAATGAAGTTTAAAACATGTTCTTTTTAGCTCTTACAGCAAAAATGGAGCAACAGTATCTGTTTATGAAACAGTCACTGTATTGTTTCTAGTGCACCTCTAACATTTCTTTGGTTTTAAGGGAAAGTTTCATTATTAAATACTTCCGGATACCCAGCCCACAAGAATTTTCCCCTAAACATGCAGGAATAGTGCACAACTACCCTACAGCTCTTTTTTGGCATCACCTACTATTTATTCTGTACTTCATGGAACTTCAACAGTAATTCAAAACCCACTAGTGGCCCACATGGTGGCAGGGTTTGTTTGTTTATTTTAAAAAAAACCAAATATATTAAGAGCAGTATACATTACAGGGCTAAAACCACACTTTCACGTACATGCGCACAACTGCTAAGAAAGATGCTGTGCAACTGGAGTAACTGCAAATAAAAAGGTTAAGCAAGCAGAGACATCCCAAAAGACTTAACATACAACCCACTGAGAACCAGGCCAAAATTCAGGGAGATAATGTGACAAGCAAGTAAGTCTTAAGAATCTTTTCCATTATTGAATTATAAACCTTAATCTCAAAGACCATTTTGTGAAAGCTGTTCTCTTTGAACAGTAGTATTTAGGTAGTTCAAGGGTTAGGATTTGAGAGCATGAGGAAGACTATCATTAACAGAAACGCAGCACATACGAAACACTTAGTCATCAGTCCGCTACCAATGATGACAGTAACAACATTACTTTCAAACAATACTTTCCAAAATTCAAACGAAGACATTCATACACATAACTGGAAAAAACCGAGCAGTTAGCATTCAGAATAGAAGCGAGGCCTTTTAAGTACCGAAAGTTTAAGCCCGAGGCGTAAAAAGAACCCAGAAAACCAGCTTCCAGCAAACTCGGCAGGGGACAGCCACCATTTAGAGAGCGGCAGCGGGTCGCTCCGGCCACGGGCGGGCTGGCACCGGCCAACAACCCTAGAAAGTGCACCAGGGAAGGGGAGAAGGGAAGAGGAGAAGAGCAGCGGCCCCCCCCCAACACAACCCCGGCCCCGGTAGCTCGGGGCAGGGGCTCCCCGCCCGGCCCGGCCCGCACCTGCAGGGTGGTGATGTGTTTATCGTTGAACTTGTTCTCGCAGTAGCGTAGCACCAGGGAGGTTTTCCCCACGCAACCCTCCCCGAGCAAAACCACCTTGAAGGAAAAACTGCGGCCCCCGGCCGCCGCGCCGGCCCCCGCCG